GTACAATAATTAGGCTCCATACAACAATTAGGCTCCATACAACAATTAGGCTCCATACAACAATTAGGCTCCATTTAAATATCTGAGCTCAACCAGATATAAAAATGAGCAACATAAATCTATATGAACAACTTTAGTTTATAACATAATGTGAGTGGTGTAACATTATCGTTATTGGATCAAACAGACTGTGAACACACGGCTCATGTAACAGGTTCTGGCTGCGCAAGATTTCGAGAGCTTAGGAGCTTGTTATCTCTCTGTGGTAATTCCCTGGAGAAGTGGCAATTAATGACGCAATTGGCAATTGGTGGGATAAATAGCAATTAAGGTAATTAGCAATGGCTATGGTGATTGTCAATTATTGGGACAAGTGTCAGCGGCTGTGGGTAAGTGTCAGAGGGTGTGGGTAAGTGTCAGAGGCTGGGACAAGTGTCATAGGCTGTGACAAGTGTCAGAGGCTGTGACAAGTGTCAGAGGCTGTGACAAGTGTCAGAGGCTGGGACAAGTGTCATAGGCTGTGACAAGTGTCAGAGGCTGGGACAAGTGTCATAGGCTGTGACAAGTGTCAGAGGCTGTGACAAGTGTCAGAGGCTGTGACAAGTGTCAGAGGCTGTGACAAGTGTCAGAGGCTGTGACAAGTGTCAGAGGCTGGGACAAGTGTCATAGGCTGTGACAAGTGTCAGAGGCTGTGACAAGTGTCAGAGGCTGTGACAAGTGTCAGCGGCTGTGACAAGTGTCAGCGGCTGTGACAAGTGTCAGAGGCTGGGACAAGTGTCATAGGCTGTGACAAGTGTCAGAGGCTGTGACAAGTGTCAGAGGCTGTGACAAGTGTCAGCGGCTGGGACAAGTGTCATAGGCTGTGACAAGTGTCAGAGGCTGTGACAAGTGTCAGAGGCTGTGACAAGTGTCAGTGGGTGTGACAAGTGTCAGAGGCTGTGACAAGTGTCAGAGGCTGTGACAAGTGTCAGAGGCTGTGACAAGTGTCAGTGGGTGTGACAAGTGTCAGAGGCTGTGACAAGTGTCAGAGGCTGTGACAAGTGTCAGTGGGTGTGACAAGTGTCAGAGGCTGTGACAAGTGTCAGCGGCTGTGACAAGTGTCAGCGGCTGTGACAAGTGTCAGTGGGTGTGACAAGTGTCAGAGGCTGTGACAAGTGTCAGTGGGTGTGACAAGTGTCAGCGGCTGTGACAAGTGACAGCGGCTGTGACAAGTGTCAGCGGCTGTGACAAGTGTCAGAGGCTGTGACAAGTGTCAGAGGCTGTGACAAGTGTCAGCGGCTGTGACAAGTGTCAGAGGCTGTGACAAGTGTCAGAGGCTGTGACAAGTGTCAGAGGCTGTGACAAGTGTCAGAGGCTGTGACAAGTGTCAGAGGCTGTGACAAGTGACAGAGGCTGTGACAAGTGACAGAGGCTGTGACAAGTGTCAGCGGCTGTGACAAGTGAGAGAGGCTGTGACAAGTGTCAGAGGCTGTGACAAGTGTCAGAGGCTGTGACAAGTGTCAGAGGCTGTGACAAGTGACAGCGGCTGTGACAAGTGACAGAGGCTGTGACAAGTGTCAGAGGCTGTGACAAGTGTCAGAGGCTGGGACAAGTGACAGCGGCTGTGACAAGTGTCAGAGGCTGGGGTAAGTGTCAGAGGCTGTGACAAGTGTCAGAGGCTGTGACAAGTGTCAGAGGCTGTGACAAGTGTCAGAGGCTGTGACAAGTGTCAGAGGCTGTGACAAGTGTCAGTGGCTGGGGTAAGTGTCAGAGGCTGGGGGTAAGTGTCAGCGGCTGGGGTAAGTGTCAGAGGCTGTGACAAGTGTCAGAGACTGTGACAAGTGTCAGAGGCTGGGGTAAGTGTCAGAGGCTGTGGGTAAGTGTCAGCGGCTGTGACAAGTGTCAGAGGCTGTGACAAGTGTCAGAGGCTGTGACAAGTGTCAGAGGCTGTGACAAGTGTCAGAGGCTGTGACAAGTGTCAGAGGCTGTGACAAGTGTCAGAGGCTGTGACAAGTGTCAGAGGCTGTGACGAGTGTCAGAGGCTGTGACAAGTGTCAGAGGCTGGGGTAAGTGTCAGAGGCTGGGGGTAAGTGTCAGCGGCTGGGGTAAGTGTCAGAGGCTGTGACAAGTGTCAGAGACTGTGACAAGTGTCAGAGGCTGGGGTAAGTGTCAGAGGCTGTGGGTAAGTGTCAGCGGCTGTGACAAGTGTCAGAGGCTGTGACAAGTGTCAGAGGCTGTGACAAGTGTCAGCGGCTGTGACAAGTGTCAGAGGCTGTGGGTAAGTGTCAGAGGCTGTGACAAGTGTCAGAGGCTGTGACAAGTGTCGGAGGCTGTGACAAGTGTCAGCGGCTGTGACAAGTGTCAGAGGCTGTGACAAGTGTCAGAGGCTGTGACAAGTGTCAGAGGCTGTGACAAGTGTCAGCGGCTGTGACAAGTGTCAGAGGCTGGGGTAAGTGTCAGAGGCTGGGGGTAAGTGTCAGCGGCTGGGGTAAGTGTCAGAGGCTGTGACAAGTGTCAGAGACTGTGACAAGTGTCAGAGGCTGGGGTAAGTGTCAGAGGCTGTGGGTAAGTGTCAGCGGCTGTGACAAGTGTCAGAGGCTGTGACAAGTGTCAGAGGCTGTGACAAGTGTCAGCGGCTGTGACAAGTGTCAGAGGCTGTGGGTAAGTGTCAGAGGCTGTGACAAGTGTCAGAGGCTGTGACAAGTGTCGGAGGCTGTGACAAGTGTCAGAGGCTGTGACAAGTGTCAGAGGCTGTGACAAGTGTCAGCGGCTGGGGTAAGTGTCAGAGGCTGGGGGTAAGTGTCAGAGGCTGTGGGTAAGTGTCAGAGGCTGTGGGTAAGTGTCAGAGGCTGTGACAAGTGTCAGAGGCTGTGACAAGTGTCAGCGGCTGTGACAAGTGTCAGAGGCTGTGACAAGTGTCAGAGGCTGTGACAAGTGTCAGCGGCTGTGACAAGTGTCAGCGGCTGTGACAAGTGTCACAGGCTGTGACAAGTGTCAGAGGCTGTGACAAGTGTCAGAGGCTGTGACAAGTGTCACAGGCTGTGACAAGTGTCAGCGGCTGTGACATGTGTCAAAGGCTGTGACAAGTGTCAGAGGCTGGGACAAGTGTCAGCGGCTGTGACAAGTGTCAGAGGCTGTGACAAGTGTCAGAGGCTGTGACAAGTGTCAGCGGCTGTGACAAGTGTCAGCGGCTGTGACAAGTGTCACAGGCTGTGACAAGTGTCAGAGGCTGTGACAAGTGTCAGAGGCTGTGACAAGTGTCAGAGGCTGTGACAAGTGTCACAGGCTGTGACAAGTGTCAGAGGCTGTGACAAGTGTCAGCGGCTGTGACAAGTGTCAGAGGCTGTGACAAGTGTCAGCGGCTGTGACAAGTGTCAGAGGCTGTGACAAGTGTCAGAGGCTGTGACAAGTGTCAGCGGCTGTGACAAGTGTCAGAGGCTGTGACAAGTGTCAGCGGCTGTGACAAGTGTCAGCGGCTGTGACAAGTGTCAGCGGCTGTGACAGTTTTTATTATTATTATTATTAGTATCTACCACAGACGTGGCCACACATTTACAATGCTAACCAGCATATATACATTTTCTTCTGTCCTCCATGGACAGGGTGAGAGAGCTGTTAAACATATAGTTCAGTGATTTATTGAACAATCAACCACTGAAGGTGATTGTAGAGCTTTTAAAATGCTAATCTAACCTACAGACATAGATACACAGATTTACCTCCGTCCTACATAAAGGTTGTAAAATGTTCGAGGTATCTTTTTACATAGTGTCATTAATGTGCGTTTACAAAGGTGAAATTCACTCACACACACACAGTGTCTGGGATGCTCCCGGACGCAGGTTCGAATCCTCGTCACGGCCCTTGTGGATTTGTTCATTTAAAGGTGAAATACAATTCTGACTAGCTTCCACATACCTTATATACAAATATACGCACATATATATACACATATACCTGACAGCTGGGTGGACAGCGCTTCGGATTCGTAGTCCTGAGGTTCCGGGTTTGATCCCCGGTGGAGGCGGAGACAAATGGGCAAAATGTTTCTTGCACACTGATTCCCCTGTTACCTAGCAGTAAATAGGTACCGGGGAGTTAGACAGCTGCTACAGGCTGCTTCCGGGGGGGCGGAGGCCTGGTCGAGGACCGGGCCGCGGGGACACTAAGCCCCGAAATCATCTCAAGATAACCCAATGACGACTCTTACTACGACATTCTATCTGAACCCCCAAATAAATTTGTTTTGCTATTTTGTAAAATATTTTGCAATCTCATGACAAGATTTACACAGATGTAATCATAAATGCTGACCCTTTAAAACCTGAAACAAATTATAAAGCATTCTTCTTTTTCATTTTTTTTTAATATTATATATTCCTTTTCCTTTTATATATTTCCTTTAATATATATAAATATATAATTATAATTATATATTTCCTTTAGTTTCTAATATTATATGTTCCTAATATTATATGTGACAAGTGTCACATATAATATTAGGAACATATAATCTCTCCCTCTCTCTCTCTCTCTCTCTCTCTGGGAGAGAGAGAGAGAGAGAGAGAGAGAGAGAGAGAGAGAGAGAGAGAGAGAGAGAGAGAAGAGAGAGGGAGAGAGGGGAGGGAGCGAAGGAGGGAGGGAGGGAGCGAAGGAGGGAGGGAGGGAGCGAAGGAGGGAGGGAGGGAGCGAAGGAGGGAGGGAGGGAGGGAGCGAAGGAGGGAGGGAGGGAGAGTCAGTCACCTCACTTCCGTAACATTCAAAATTTTTGTCTCATTATAAAGACAAGTATTTTATTAATTAAAACATACTAGTAAAACAAGATAATTAGTAATTAATGCCATACACGGTATATCTGAAGACAAGGCCGCCACTGGCAATTAATGCCATACACGGTATATCTGAAGACAAGGCCGCCACTGGCAATTAATGCCATACACGGTATATCTGAAGACAAGGCCGCCACTGGCAATTAATGCCATACACGGTATATCTGAAGACAAGGCCGCCACTGGCAATTAATGCCATACACGGTATATCTGAAGACAAGGCCGCCACTGGCAATTAATGCCATACACGGTATATCTGAAGACAAGGCAGCCACTGCCATACACGGTATACCTGAAGACAAGGCCGCCACTGCCATACACGGTATACCTGAAGACAAGGCAGCCACTGCCATACACGGTATACCTGAAGACAAGGCCGCCACTGCCATACACGGTATACCTGAAGACAAGGCCGCCACTGCCATACCCGGTATACCTGAAGACAAGGCCGCCACTGCCATACACGGTATATCTGAAGACAAGGCCGCCACTGCCATACACGGTATATCTGAAGACAAGGCCGCCACTGCCATACACGGTATATCTGAAGACAAGGCCGCCACTGCCATACACGGTATATCTGAAGACAAGGCCGCCACTGCCATACACGGTATACCTGAAGACAAGGCAGCCACTGCCATACACGGTATACCTGAAGACAAGGCAGCCACTGCCATACACGGTATACCTGAAGACAAGGCAGCCACTGCCATACACGGTATACCTGAAGACAAGGCCGCCACTGCCATACACGGTATACCTGAAGACAAGGCAGCCACTGCCATACACGGTATACCTGAAGACAAGGCAGCCACTGCCATACACGGTATATCTGAAGACAAGGCCGCCACTGCCATACCCGGTATACCTGAAGACAAGGCCGCCACTGCCATACACGGTATACCTGAAGACAAGGCCGCCACTGCCATACCCGGTATACCTGAAGACAAGGCCGCCACTGCCATACCCGGTATACCTGAAGACAAGGCCGCCACTGCCATACACGGTATACCTGAAGACAAGGCCGCCACTGCCATACACGGTATACCTGAAGACAAGGCCGCCACTGCCATACACGGTATATCTGAAGACAAGGCCGCCACTGCCATACACGGTATAACTGAAGACAAGGCCGCCACTGCCATACCCGGTATATCTGAAGACAAGGCCGCCACTGCCATACCCGGTATATCTGAAGACAAGGCCGCCACTGCCATACACGGTATACCTGAAGACAAGGCCGCCACTGCCATACCCGGTATACCTGAAGACAAGGCCGCCACTGCCATACCCGGTATACCTGAAGACAAGGCCGCCACTGCCATACCCGGTATACCTGAAGACAAGGCCGCCACTGCCATACCCGGTATACCTGAAGACAAGGCCGCCACTGCCATACCCGGTATACCTGAAGACAAGGCCGCCACTGCCATACCCGGTATACCTGAAGACAAGGCCGCCACTGCCATACCCGGTATACCTGAAGACAAGGCCGCCACTGCCATACCCGGTATACCTGAAGACAAGGCCGCCACTGCCATACCCGGTATACCTGAAGACAAGGCCGCCACTGCCATACACGGTATACCTGAAGACAAGGCCGCCACTGCCATACACGGTATACCTGAAGACAAGGCCGCCACTGCCATACCCGGTATACCTGAAGACAAGGCCGCCACTGCCATACCCGGTATACCTGAAGACAAGGCCGCCACTGCCATACCCGGTATACCTGAAGACAAGGCCGCCACTGCCATACCCGGTATACCTGAAGACAAGGCCGCCACTGCCATACCCGGTATACCTGAAGACAAGGCCGCCACTGCCATACCCGGTATACCTGAAGACAAGGCCGCCACTGCCATACACGGTATATCTGAAGACAAGGCCGCCACTGCCATACACGGTATACCTGAAGACAAGGCCGCCACTGCCATACACGGTATACCTGAAGACAAGGCCGCCACTGCCATACACGGTATACCTGAAGACAAGGCCGCCACTGCCATACCCGGTATACCTGAAGACAAGGCCGCCACTGCCATACACGGTATACCTGAAGACAAGGCCGCCACTGCCATACCCGGTATACCTGAAGACAAGGCCGCCACTGCCATACACGGTATACCTGAAGACAAGGCCGCCACTGCCATACACGGTATACCTGAAGACAAGGCCGCCACTGCCATACCCGGTATACCTGAAGACAAGGCCGCCACTGCCATACACGGTATACCTGAAGACAAGGCCGCCACTGCCATACACGGTATACCTGAAGACAAGGCCGCCACTGCCATACCCGGTATACCTGAAGACAAGGCCGCCACTGCCATACCCGGTATACCTGAAGACAAGGCCGCCACTGCCATACACGGTATACCTGAAGACAAGGCCGCCACTGCCATACCCGGTATACCTGAAGACAAGGCCGCCACTGCCATACACGGTATACCTGAAGACAAGGCCGCCACTGCCATACCCGGTATACCTGAAGACAAGGCCGCCACTGCCATACCCGGTATACCTGAAGACAAGGCCGCCACTGCCATACACGGTATACCTGAAGACAAGGCCGCCACTGCCATACCCGGTATACCTGAAGACAAGGCCGCCACTGCCATACACGGTATACCTGAAGACAAGGCCGCCACTGCCATACCCGGTATACCTGAAGACAAGGCCGCCACTGCCATACCCGGTATACCTGAAGACAAGGCCGCCACTGCCATACACGGTATACCTGAAGACAAGGCCGCCACTGCCATACACGGTATACCTGAAGACAAGGCCGCCACTGCCATACCCGGTATACCTGAAGACAAGGCCGCCACTGCCATACCCGGTATACCTGAAGACAAGGCCGCCACTGCCATACACGGTATACCTGAAGACAAGGCCGCCACTGCCATACCCGGTATACCTGAAGACAAGGCCGCCACTGCCATACACGGTATACCTGAAGACAAGGCCGCCACTGCCATACACGGTATACCTGAAGACAAGGCCGCCACTGCCATACACGGTATACCTGAAGACAAGGCCGCCACTGCCATACCCGGTATACCTGAAGACAAGGCCGCCACTGCCATACACGGTATACCTGAAGACAAGGCCGCCACTGCCATACCCGGTATACCTGAAGACAAGGCCGCCACTGCCATACACGGTATACCTGAAGACAAGGCCGCCACTGCCATACCCGGTATACCTGAAGACAAGGCCGCCACTGCCATACCCGGTATACCTGAAGACAAGGCCGCCACTGCCATACCCGGTATACCTGAAGACAAGGCCGCCACTGCCATACACGGTATACCTGAAGACAAGGCCGCCACTGCCATACACGGTATACCTGAAGACAAGGCCGCCACTGCCATACCCGGTATACCTGAAGACAAGGCCGCCACTGCCATACACGGTATACCTGAAGACAAGGCCGCCACTGCCATACACGGTATACCTGAAGACAAGGCCGCCACTGCCATACACGGTATACCTGAAGACAAGGCCGCCACTGGCATACACGGTATACCTGAAGACAAGGCCGCCACTGGCATACCCGGTATACCTGAAGACAAGGCCGCCACTGGCATACCCGGTATACCTGAAGACAAGGCCGCCACTGCCATACACGGTATACCTGAAGACAAGGCCGCCACTGCCATACCCGGTATACCTGAAGACAAGGCCGCCACTGGCAAATGAAGGAATAGGAAATATTTTTTAATAATTTTGTAATTTGTTTACTTAATGTTATTGGGACTCATCGTAATTAATATATTCCTAACTTTCAGGCAACTTAGGAACAAGGGGACAGTACTCTTACCAAGGAGTTTGCTCAGGCAACTTAGGAACAAGGGGACAGTACTCTTACCAAGGAGTTTGCTCAGGCAACTTAGGAACAAGGGGACAGTACTCTTACCAAGGAGTTTGCTCAGGCAACTTAGGAACAAGGGGACAGTACTCTTACCAAGGAGTTTGCTCAGGCAACTTAGGAACAAGGGGACAGTACTCTTACCAAGGAGTTTGCAGGTTCTTAATAAACCCAGTTACTGGGTATCACAGGCTTACTGCATTGCTAAGTCTTTGTTTGTACACAGTGCCCACGGCCCAGATTCACGAAGCAGATACGCAAGTACTTACGAACGTGTACATCTTTCCTGAATCTTTGACACCTTTGGTTCCATTTATTAAACAGTTTACAAGCATGAAAACTTCCCAATCAACTGTTGTTATTGTTATAAACAGCCTCCTGGTGCTTCGGAGCTCATTAACTGTTTAATAATTGTAAACAAAGCCGCCAAAGATTGGGAAAAGGTGTACAGGTTCGTAAGTGCTTGCGTAAGTGCTTCGTGAATCTGGTCCCCAGGTCTCTCACTACACTTGACACTCTCCAGAGGAGCGCCCCGCGTGTCTTACCTCACTACTCTCAACACTTCACTTATCTCCTCCCTCTTGACCTTCCTTCCTGGATCATCCAGTATTCTTAACTCTGCTTGTCCTCCTTGAAGGAAACTCTCCCGATCATAGCGCCTTGTTCTAAGCTTTCTTAATCACAGCACAAACTAGATGAGGTGCCAAGCAGTACCTGATAACCAGACAGTGTCTTTATCTACGTAGATAAATACAATGTCTTTGTCATAGACATTGTCTACGTTGTCATTGTCATAGACATTGTCTACGTTGTCATTGTCATAGACATTGTCATAGACATTGTCAACTCTCTTTGTCTGTGACTGAGGGGCTGACATGGTCGGTACTCGCTGGAGGAAAGTGTGTGTGTGTGTGGAGTGATCAGTGGATAATGTTTTACGACATAGATCAAATAGTTGGTTTAAATTTTGTGTTTTCAGAGAGTCGAGTTTGTAGCGAGTGCCAGCATCGTCATGGGAAGCTTGCTAAGAAACCGTGCCACGCTGCACTCGTTACAACGATGTCGACCTCGACCCACCCATGTGGGGCAACTACCCAACAGAAATCATTGTGCAAAATTGGGTGAGGTTAGCCGCAAGCGTCTGGCCCTCCACCCTCAAGGAGACCATCTATGTTATACAGATTACCGCGAGGGAACACCTTACAGACAGACTGGGAAGTTATCAGTATTGATTGCAACACGGGATCGGATCCCACTTTAAGCACATCCACTACAGTCTGGCAGGAAAGTGTCTCGAGAGAGTTAAGTCGTCGGCGCAATGCAATCAATTAGAAAAAAAAATCAAGTAGCAATTTCCAACCTAGAATATTGCTTTGCAATTGAAAGAGTGACGGACGATACGCAGGGTCTCGAGGCGCTATACAATTGGTTCTTAGAGCGTCGTAATATTTTTTTTTTTGGGAGGGGGGAGGGGTTGGGGGGGGTTATAGTGTGTCTGTGGGACCTGTCTAGTGTTCTGCAACACCAGAGTTGGTGAATGTGTTGTGCTCTCCCCACTATTGGTCCTCTCATTCTGTGCGTTATTCCTCATTCTCTTCTCTTCTCATCTTGTGCTTTATACTTCCCATTCTCCTTTCTTCTCATTCTGTGCTTTGCTACTCATTCACTTTCGCCCTCTCCTCGCTTCTCCATTTTCTTTGCTCGTTCTCACCTTGCCTCTCAATCCTCTCATTATATCCATTCCCTATTCATGAGTTCCTATATTATATATATATATATATATTACCATTCGCTTTCGTTCTTTCATCTTGTTTTATCCCTTTCCTCAACAATACACTCCCTTCTCTCTCTCTCTCTCTCTCTCTCTCTCTCTCTCTCTCTCTCTCTCTCTCTCTCTCTCTCTCTCTCTCTCTCTCTCTCTCTCTCTCTCTCTCTCTCGTTTTCTATACCTTTCCTGCCTATCATCCAGGGCACCATAAACTCCCTCAAGATCGACTTAATTCCAACAGGTTCGGGTCGTTCAGGAGAGGATCTAAGAGGCTGGGATCCGTCCTTTCCTCGGCTCCTCTTTGTTTGAAAGAATTTCTTCCAATCTCGTGGAATTTACTTATGAAGTTTCTTTTTAGAGACTTAGGAGAGAGAGGGAATATCTTGGGTATATTTTGACATATATATATCAAAATTGGGTGTCTTCATCTGCTCTTGGGTATGGTCTTTCATTGGTAATGTGTTCTCTCACTTTGACGCACACACACACACACACACACACACACACACACACACACACACACACACACACACACACACACACACACACACACACACACACACGGTTGATGTACACCAGTTGATTGACAGTTAAGAGGCGGGACCAAAGAGCCAGAGCTCGGGGCATCGTGGCTGAGTGAACAGCGCTTGGGGTTCGAAGTCCTAATGACCCAGGTTCGATTCCCAGTGGAGGCAGAAACTAATGGGCAGTTTCTTTCACCCTGATGTTCACCTAGCAGTAAATAGGTACCTGGGAGCTAGACAGTTGCTACGGGCTGCTTCCTGGGGATATGTGTGTGTATTAGAGAGGAATATATATAGTAGATATAATAGATGAACAGTAAATTGATCAGAAAGGCGGGGTCCAAGAGCTAATAGCTCGATTCTGCAGACACAAATATTAAATATACACACACAGACAAACATTTTATATATATATATATATATATATATATATATATATATATATATATATATATATATATATATATATATATATATATATATATGTGTGTGTGTGTGTGTGTGTATCACGAAAATAAACACGTGATTAAGAATGTGACAATGTCAGACCACGGAGGAAAATGAAACAGGAATTTCCTTAAGTACTTTCGTATATTAAATACATCTTCAGAAGGAATCCTTCTGAAGATGTATTCCTTCTGAAGATGTATTTAATATACGAAAGTACTTAAGGAAATTCCTGTTTCATTTTCCTCCGTGGTCTGACATTGTCATATATATATATATATATATATATATATATATATATATATATATATATATATATATATATATATATATATATATATATATATAAAACTATGCATTTACATGCACACACACACATCACTAGTATCAACATACACATATTCTCGCCAATTTGGTGATAAACTCCATCATTTCCAGCAAGCCCAGATGTACTCTCAACACCAAACAATTGCTTCAATCTGTTGAATTGCCGTTTTCCCGATGTGAACGGCGCGTAAAATAACGGTCATAACGGTATTAACCACTGACTCAAATTTAAAAATCGGTTCCCACTTTAAGAGCAATGAAATGAGAGCGAGCGAGCGAGAGAGAGAAAGAGTGAGAGAGAGAGAGAGAGAGAGAGAGAGAGAGAGAGAGAGAGAGAGAGAGAGAGAGAGAGAGAGAGAGAGAGAGAGTGAGTCTCGAACCCTCAGGACTTGATATTGCAAGCATGCCGCACCTGTCTCGTAAAGACGACTTCGGCGGGGGAGTAATTGCAGCGTGTGATTGAAGGGCCGGGCACAGTGCCCGGCCCAGACTGGCACTGTTGGGGCACTCTTGGGTATGCTGGACTTGAGTAGTAGGCTCTTGTATTGTGTGAGGGGAATGGGGTGGTTAAAAGGGAAGGGGTGGTGGAGGAGGAGGCTCGAGGGGAAGGTACAGAACAAGGGGGGATATGGTGGGGTGGGAGAGGGGGGGGGCAAGAAGGGAACGGGGTAGGAGTAGGAGGAGGAGATGGAGATGGGAGGCGAGGAAAGGAATGGTGGGAAGGGTTGAACAGAGGGAAACGTAGACAGCACAGGTCAAGAGGAGTAAGGGTCAGTGTAACGAAGTTGGGAAAGGAGAAAGATATGTCAAATGAGCAGAAGAGTGTACTCACCTAGTTGTGCTTGCGGGGGTTGAGCTCTGGCTCTTTGGTCCCGCCTATCAACTGTCAATCAACTGGTGTACAGGTTCCTGAGCCTACTGGGCTCTATCATATCTACACTTGAAACTGTGTATGGAGTCAGCCTCCACCACATCACTGCCTAATGCATTCCATCCGTTAACTACTCTGACACTGAAAAAGTTCTTTCGAACGTCCCTGTGGCTCATTTGGGTACTCAGTTTCCACCTGTGTCCCCTTGTTCGCGTACCACCAGGGTTAAACAGTTTATCTGTATCTACCCTGTCAATTCCTTTGAGAATTTTGTAGGTAGTGATCATGTCTCCCCTTACTTTTCTTTCTTCCTGTGTCGTGAGGTGCATTTCACGCAGCCTTTCCTCTTAGTTCTGGGACTAGTCTAGTGGCATTCCTCTGAACTTTTTCAAGCTTCGCCTTGTGCTTGACAAGGTACGGGCTCCATACGGGGGCCGCATACTCCAGGATTGGTCTTACGTATGTGGTATACAAAGTTCTGAATGATTCCTTACACAGGTTCCTGAAGGCAGTTCTGATGTTAGCCAGCCTCGCATACACCGCAGATGTTATTCTTTTTATGTGGGCTTCAGGAGACAGGTTTGGTGTGATATCAACTCCTAGATCTTTCTCTCTGTCCGTTTCATAAATTACTTCATTTCCCATTCGGTATCCTGTGTCTGGCCTGTTTCCACCGATTAGTTTCATTACTTTGCATTTACTCGGGTTGAACTTTAGTAGTCATTTGTTGGATCTTTCATTCAGTCTGTCTAGGTCCTCTTGTAGCCTGATACTATCTTCCTCTGTCTTAATCCTCCTCATGATTTTTGCATCATCAGCAAACAATGAGAGGAACGATTCTATACCCTCTGGGAGATCATTTACATATATCAGAAACAGTATAGGTCCAAGGAC